CTTGAAAGCTTGCTAAAATATATATCTTTTAAAAAATATATTAATATATAAATTTTTATATAAATTGTTATAGAAAATAGTCAGTATATTATAAGTGATATTGATAGGTTGGAAGCATTCCCAAGAGAGTCAAAGCTGGTCATAGACCTGTATTAAAGTGGATTTCTAAGTAAGAATTATAAGTATACAAAATACATGTGTTAAAATTTTGTTTTCAATAAATGAAACCATGGCAATTAGTTGCTAGGAAAAAATTAAGGAAGTTGTTTTAGGTCTATGATTACCAGTACTAAAAATATATAAATATTCATAAATGAAATAAAAAATGAAAGTTTGAAATGTGATGTTCATAAGGTTGTTTTAGGTCTATATTAATTGTAAACTATTCCAAGCTATAACCTTATGAACATCACAATTCAAACTTTTATTTCTATTTCATTTATGAATATTTAAATGATATAAATATTCATAAATGAAATAGGAATAAAAGTTTGAATTGTGATGTTCATAAGGTTAWAGCTTGGAATAGTTTACAATTAATATGGTATACACATATTTCAGGGGGGAACCCATTACAAAAAAAATACAGTGAAGATAAACATATTTTATCTAGTTGCATGGCTACCACCAAGGAAATTTATGGAATATTTCATTCAGCAAAGGGATTTTAAAAATTCATGATAAAAAATTCTCACTTTTATATGTGAGACTAAGTTTTTTTTAAATGTGACTATAGATAGAAAGTATAAAGAAAAAAATTCCCACTTTTGAGGAAAAAAGAAATAACTTTAAAAAGTGAGAAATTTAAATTCAAATTAATTGTTAAGAGAAAAAATATCAAAACAAAGAAAAAGGATATATTGGCTTAATATTGACATCTTATCGTGTAGGGTCATTGGGTTAGTCGTTATTGATCTCATTTGAAATGCAAATCAAATGAAACCACTAGATGGATGATGCAACAAACCCTCGCGCCAAAAAATGCGATCAAAAGCAAACAAATATGAAAAACACGAGGTTTCCTGTTGCTACGGATTTCATCTCCTTCAGGATGGAATGAGAGTTGTTAGTTAAGTTATTTAAGACTCCAGATCTTATTTTCTGAAACTGTTCGTTTTCTATTATTTTTTGCAGATCTGAAATGCGCTGAAAAAGGAACCTATATAACTAGAAACACGTGGACACGTTATACGACCCAATGAGGCCGAACAAAGTGWTTTATATTTACAATATTACTGAATAAAACTATTATATGTTTAATCTCGTGATACAAAGTTAGGGTAAAAAGGGATTTGGTCATTGAAAAGAGGTGTCTCTTTTTTCAAACACTTGTTTTGAAAATTTTGCTGGTAAAGTTTATGCCACGTTTTTCCAAATCGACAAACATAGCTCCCTTCGACTAAAACACTGAGGATTTAGGGCTTTGTTGTGAATTTTTCGAGACAGCTTRTAATATAATTTCACAAGGAATACGTTATTGAAGTGATAAAGCTTTTAWGGGAAGGAATGAAAGGAGTTTAGTAAGGAAGGAATATTCTTTTCTACCTACCAAGACAAACGCACGCCAGTAGCTTSACTGCGGCTGCCGGTGGGGTACGACAATTAGGAAAGAACGGTTTGGCGACGTATTCCCCAAAAATAAGGGCAATAATAGCCCCTGATGCTGGCCTGATGATTAAAATTGAAGTCCAAGCGAACAGATAAGCAGGAATTTTACCAAAAGCTTCCATAAGGTAGGCGTACTCAGCACCAGACTTGGTAACGAAGGCTCCGAGTTCAGCGTAGCAYAAGCACCCGAACATGGCCAATAATCCACAACCAAGCCATATYAACAGAGCAAGACCGATAGAATTCGTCTCCACAAGGATTCCAGTCGGTGAAATAAAGATTCCAGAGCCGATAACAGTACCGGCAATAAGCCCAATACCATCMACTAAAGTGATATTTTTTTTCAAAGCAATTTTCCCGTTCTCGGCTTGGTTTTCATCCATMGAGGAACCCGGCGAATTTCTCAATTTCTGCTTTTCGTCTGGACCTGAATTCATAAGGTCAACTCCTTCGGAAGACATCGTTGCTTAAAATTTCCTTTTTAAAGAATAAATGGGAAAATATATAATTTTTTTCTCAAGAATAAACTTCTACTCCAAATACTATCGAAATCTGAACCCAAATGAATGGATCATTSTGTGTGCATCAAAACACGGAAAGAAGCCCGCGCAGTTTTCAGCCAATCACGAAACTCTATTCTATAAAACCCTTTCTGATTGGTTAAAAACTTTTTCGTCCAATGAAAATTTTCGCGCCAAAACGTTTTAATATTAAAATTATATTTGGATTTTTGATATGATTAAGACATGTTATGAGGTACTGCCCTGAGGTTAAATAAGTATGTTTTAATAAAGTTCTATTTGAATTTAAGAAAGTACATTAACCAACGTCAGTGTGATAATGTTTATAAGTAGCTAAGGTTTATCATTGCATTACAATAGCTAAGGTATAGAAGTACTGATTTAGGAAGTGTAGTTTGTTTGAATTTATTGCTTTAGTTAACGCAGTCCGTACTACTAAMTTTTCAGTGGTTTTTGAAAATATTTAATCACCAATAACCGTAAATCAACATGGCTTCGTGGTTCTATTATGATCCTGATTCCGATCATGTCTTATTACTATGGCGACGTTCAAGTGGCTTGAAAATTATTTTATAATTTTTTAACTTATATATCACACAAAACCATGGTTCTATTATGACCCTGATTCATGTCTTATCATGAATCTGATTCATGTCTTAATATTACTACTATGGCAACGTTCAAGTGGCTTGAAAATCATAATTTTTKACCTTATATATCACACAAAACCATTCAATCGTTTTATTTTCTTTCCAAGTGTCCAAAATGCAAATCAGAGCCACACATCGCGCTCATCTTCTTTATTCTAGTTTTTATGTCTCATTCCCATTTCCATCCCTATTACCAGTGAAATAAATCCCATTCAAGGTAAGAATTTTTATTTACRTCTGGCCACGCAAAACCCCGCGGGCAAAAAATAAATTTAGTAATTGAATCACACAAGATCAAACACGCGAAGAAAAACATCGATTTTTCCGACGAAAATTTCCATTTTAAAAGCAGTCACGAAAACAGTTTTTGCAGCAAATAGATGATTTGAAATGATYATTATTTTAACCTAACTTATATTTCAGTAACAGTTTTCTTCTAACGATTTAAAATACTGCTTCAATTTTTTTCTAACGTCCCTAAGTAATATAATACTAATATATTCTCATCTTCAATGTTTAAAATTTAATTTCATAACAATTATTTACTGATATCGAGTAGTATAGGGAATGGGGGTTCCAGCGCAATCTCAACACGGGGCAAGACCCGCGTCAAAAATCCACCTACGGACGACCCCCACTCCAAGTGTGGTTGAGGGCAACAGCGCACTTAAATATGTTAGTCTATATATGGAGTGCGAAGAATGTAAGANATTGAATATGGTATCGTCCATGAGATATAAATATTTTTCTCCATTTTTTAAAATCATTCTTACTTCCTACTTCAAACCTTCAAATTTAATCGATACAGAGAAAAACCTCTGGGTTATAAGTCAGGAAACGAATATGAATGGGATTTCTCATTCCGTTTTGGAACTAAACCCATTATTTTTCAACTTCCTTAATCTACCAGAAATTATTTCAAGCGTTCTCGAAACTATGCACAGGCATATACTGTACATATTTATTATAAGATTTTTGTTGAAGAACATGTTAATTTTCAAAACGATGCATTGATAACGTSGGTGAAACTACTGACGTTTTAACCACATAAATATATTACTTTTAAAAAAAAACACTTAAAAAATCAATACGATTAAGATAAGAAAAGTAAAGAAATCTTTTTTCATTAGATTTTTTTCCATTTCCTTGTATATCATGGTGCTGTCAAGATAATCTCAGAAGCAGGGTTATGGGATAAGCAAGACAACGAGCCCTTCCTTTGGCCGCCCTTTCCGAGCATGCGCAGAACCACCAGTTTTTCATTYGAAGTGGACTAGTACGAGGTTCCAAACCACGAATTAACAGAGGATTTTTTAATGCGAAACTCGACATCAGCAACACGAGTCTGCTCCTCCGTGGAATTCTATAATATTAATAAKAGAGATTAGATTTTATAACACAAGGGAATCAAGCGCACCCCTAAATATCCAATCTCGTCCCAGAACCTACTTTTCTGCTGGGCCCGATTGTACGTGAAGGGTGGATATATAGCGCTATCCGATAGATAAATCGTAATCCAGTGGATAAATCGATGCTGTTATCMAATAGATTTCTACACTGGATAAGATTTATCCGTTGAATAGCGCAAGAGCTCTATATATCCACCCTTCGTACAACCGGGTGTTAATATTATATGAGGGGACCTAGAGTCCTACTATATTATCACCTGCCCTTGGGCGAATCATAAAATAAATAAATAATAAATAAACCGGGCCCTGGTCACTACAAACAGGCTCTGAAGACGAGATTAGCTATTGGAATATCAGTTCGTGATTACTACTGACCCATACGAAGTCCATGCGAATACTTCCTTGATCATCRCAGTGCTCCATGTAAAAACATTCACCATCTGCTGAATAATTGACTGAAGACAATTTTAGATATGGTTAGTTGAAAATAATCTATTGATGGCTTTCACAGCCACCATCTCTTTTGTTATGTTATCCAACATGGCCGCCGTGTCTTTTTTGTTTTTGTTTTTTTGTTTTTGTTTTGTTTTGTTTTTGTTTTAATTCTCTTTGGAAACATTGAAAACCAGCAATATACAAGACAAGGGACAAGATAAAAGCAATGGTCCAAAACTGATAGGGAACCCAAAATATTAATTGAATTAGATGGTGGATATCAGTAAGTATACACTGCTTGCGGAGGTCTTTTCTGCCCTTCGTTCTGCCTTCAAGCGTAGTACTCAGCCCTAAAGAAATCTGTTGGAATGCTCGATACTGAGTGGCTATACTGACTACTTCTACACACTACTACCACTAACATACATGCAAACAAACAGTCCATTAATTTCTGCGATTTGACTTTAGTTTTAGAAGCTAGATGCCTGAAGACAAAAACCATACTTCACTTGCAGAGGTGGGGCGGGATACTGCACTGGGTAGCGCCCTCCCTTGCCTCTATATCAGATTCTCTAAGACTGTGTACTGAATCAGCTCAAGCGAAAGGCAACCAGAAACAAACAATATTTACCGTTTGCTTCCTTGTTAACATGAATTAGTACCGGCGAACTGAAAAGAAGCAAATGCGGAACGAGGTTTACTCCTGGCATAGGCCTAATAGATTAGGACAGATAAAATAACTTTAACTCGTTTCTAAGCTTCGCGTATCCACGAGTTAAAAAGGAAATCAGAGATAAATTTAAAGAAAGGAATTAAGGAAAATGTGCTACGAAATGGCCTCTTAACCTTGGGCGTAATGTTTTCTCATTTTAGACCATGTGTCATTCCCAAGTGTATACTTCCTTCGTTTGATGGTTGCGCATAAGAAGACACATGAATATGGATAGAGCTCAAATTATCTTATCCCGACATTAAGCCCAAGGTAAAAAGGTCTATATTTTAAAAATTTCGAGCATCAAAGGAATCATTCCCCTGACCAACCCGACTGGTCGGCTCCTCTCCTAACCCCCTCCTAACCCCCCCCCCCCCCCCCCCCCCCCCCCCCTTTCCCCAAAAAGCCAGTACCTCCCTGGCCCTTCATTGGGTTCGGTGTTAAACGTACCTTACACACCAGACAGCCCGTCTGTGTTCATCGATTACTGTCATATCGAACAAACAAGTATTCTACAAAAAAAAAAAAATTAAAATCAGTTAAGGTTTGCGCCTGATTGAGTWTAGAGCTGGACATCTGTTTTACAACAGTGTTTGGATCAAGATGCACCGACCTTCAAACAATGGGGGTCCATAACAAGAGACATTATTCCTTATCAGAATGGAAGCAATTGTATGAAATTTTCACAGAACAATACATTTAGATGACAACTAGTTTATAGTGTTGTTTACCTGCAGTATGTTTCGAAACAGCTCCGTTTTCCAAGGTAAAGACAGTTTCTTAGAGAAGACGCCATATTCATTCCCAAGACCACGTAGAACAACAGAGTCTGATGTGAAGCCATCTAGATAACGGGACGACAAATAACCCCGTCATTTTACAAAGTTTCCTTGCTGGACCTCATTTTCAAACGACGTCATTCAATTTCAATGCTTCCGACATTGCCAATTACACACTTTGATTGACGTCTACCAGAGCCATATTTTGTTCCTACGGCTTTTGCGCATGCGCACGTTTTACTGAATAAGAATGAAATAAGTATTGAAAATGAGGAGTCACATGACTCAGTGGTATAYACAAAGGTGTTTAACTTACTGTGATAAAGTTCTCGGAATTGTTGACTCCAGTAAGAAGACTTGTGGTTTCTGAGTTCAACCATTGCAGAGTAGCCATGAAGACCTGRCAGGTCCCAAGAAAGTGAATGGCATTGGTAAATCATTGAAATATAGGGACAGGGGACAGTGACAAGGCAGTTATTGATTGTGGTACAATAAGAAAGAGAAGCATTGATAGGTGTAGCGGTGAGAGCGACCATGATCCCTAGCGTTAAAACAATACTTTGTTTTGATGTGACGATAGTTATGAAACAGGGCAATTGCACTTTCAGTGGATGAAGAGCCACTCTGTAGGAATGCCACTGCTAAATCCTATTTTATTTATTTCATTTTATTATATTAAGAGAAGCAAACATATACCTTACCATATTGGGGGTCCACGTCATCAAATACTGGCTGGTGTGAAGGAGCCTTGTATATCCTAAAGATGAATGAGAAAAAGGGAGATTGATTTGGAACAAAAATGGTTATGAAGGAGACTAACTGAAGGGGGAGTTAACAAAAAAATTAAATATACTTATTTTTTATTTTACATCGCAATAAGGGGAGTCTGGCGTTGCCACATCTCCCTATCATCAAATACTGGCTGGTGTGAAGGAGTGTTATATATCTTAAACATAGATTGGAAAAAGTGAGAATGNGGAGTCTGGCGTTGCCACATCTCCCTATCATCAAATACTGGCTGGTGTGAAGGAGTGTTATATATCTTAAACATAGATTGGAAAAAGTGAGAATGAAGTGGATTGCAGTGGAATGGACCAAGGATGA